GCATGTGTTATACTGAGAATGTATGTAAGCTTTCACTGACTATTTTCAAATTCCTTAATTCCAGTGAGTGCTGTAAGTGCAACAAAAGAAAAACCTCTTGAAGTGACACTGAAGTCATCTAAATCTCCAAGACATTTATCACTAGATCTTGCTTCCAGTGATATTCAAACCAATTTGCTACCTAGTCCTGGGTCACCTAGTGGTAACAGTAGTCGACTTAAACGATTCCCAACAAGGCAGAGTTTACTGACGGGTCCTGAGACTAAAGTATTGGTAGTCTGGCTGGAAGATTATGATGACCATGAAACCTTTCCACTTAGTAAGTTGATATTTACGACAATTTTTAATCTTTTCTATGATTTTCTGATATCTCCAGAATAATTATATAAGTTTTAATGTAACTGTGACATAGGAGTGCTCTTAAATATATCTTTCATACCTTCAATCATTCAATACCAAACATGCAGGAAGTCTCTCTACGCTTTCTTTGATTGTGGTTGTACATCTATATGTATATTTGTCTTTCAGCTGATTTGTTAGCAGAAACAAGCACTGGTATAGAATATCTTTTGATGAGTAGCTCTTCTCTGAACAAAGTATTAGATAAAGAAATAATAATTATATTTATACATCCACTGACAAGTGGTTTATACAGAATACATGTGGAAGGAAAGTAAGTAGAAGTTTTCTTTATATTCTGTCTCTACTTTTTAGATGTGACAAATCTTTGAATCCTATTCAAGTTATTTATCAACCCGTGGGTCACAATGAAGATTTCATTCTGATTGCATGCATGGCATTTTATGGTGTCCAATTAATGTACATTTTGAAGTCATATTCTATCATTATTTCTCATCTTGTTTGAGTGTAGAACTCACATGGCAATACCATTAGTAGATGGCATGGTGGTCAGTAGAAGATCTCTTGGTACACTAGTGAGACAAACTGCTATTAATACATGTTGTAGAAAGAGACTGGAGAATGATTTGTAAGTATTATTGTTTGTCATTTTTAGCTTACGATAATAAAATGATTATTTCATAACATTTGTCATCTGTGGTTTTTCATGGTAGATGTTGACCACTTAGCACCACAGTATCCCTTCCCTCTTTGTAAAAAAGTTCAATAATTTGGTATGGTTTCTGTCTTGGTCATCTTGATTGACTGCTTCTCACAATCTCAGGGCTGACTGCTTCTGACAATTTCAGGGAGTGTCTGCTTCTCACAATCCCAGAGACTGACTGCTTCTTGTAATCCCAGGGAGTGACTGCTTCTTGCAATCCCAGGGATTGTCTGCTTCTTGCAATCCCAGGGACTGTCTGCTTCTTGTAATCTCAGGGACTGTCTGCTTCTTGCAATCCGAGGGACTGACTGCTTCTTGTAATCCCAGGGACTGACTGCTACTTGCAATCCCAGAGACTGACTGCTACTTGCAATCCCAGAGACTGTCTGCTTCTTGCAATCCCAGGGACTGTCTGCTTCTTGCAATCCCAGGGACTGTCTGCTTCTTGCAATCACAGGGACTGTCTGCTTCTTGCAATCCCAGGGACTGACTGCTTCTTGCAATCCCAGGGACTGACTGCTTCTTGCAATCCTAGGGACTTTCTGCTTCTTGCAATCCTGGGGACTGTCTGCTTCTTGCAATCCCAGGGACTGACTGCTTCTTGCAATCCTAGGGACTTTCTGCTTCTTGCAATCCCAGGGACTGTCTGCTTCTTGTAATCCTAGGGACTGACTGCTTCTTGCAATCCCAGGGACTGTCTGCTTCTTGTAATCCTAGGGACTGACTGCTTCTTGCAATCCCAGGGACTGTCTGCTTCTTGCAATCCCAGGGACTTTCTGCTTCTTGTAATCCCAGGGACTGTCTGCTTCTTGCAATCACAGGGACTGTCTGCTTCTTGTAATCCCAGGGACTGTCTGCTTCTTGCAATCACAGGGACTTTCTGCTTCTTGTAATCCCAGGGACTGTCTGCTTCTTGCAATCACAGGGACTGTCTGCTTCTTGCAATCCCAGGGATTGTCTGCTTCTTGCAATCCCAGGGACTGACTGCTTCTTGCAATCCCAGGGATTGACTGCTTCTTGCAATCCTAGGGACTGACTGCTTCTTGCAATCCCAGGGACTGACTGCTTCTTGCAATCCTAGGGACTGACTGCTTCTTGTAATCCTGGGGACTGACTGCTTCTTGCAATCCCAGGGACTGACTGCTTCTTGCAATCCTAGGGACTGACTGCTTCTTGTAATCCTGGGGACTGACTGCTTCTTGTAATCCCAGGGACTGACTGCTTCTTGCAATCACAGGGACTTTCTGCTTCTTGTAATCCCAGGGACTGTCTGCTTCTTGCAATCCTAGGGACTGACTGCTTCTTGTAATCCTGGGGACTTTCTGCTTCTTGCAATCCCAGGGACTGACTGCTACTTGCAATCCCAGGGACTGTCTGCTTCTTGTAATCCCAGGGACTGTCTGCTTCTTGCAATCCTAGGGACTGACTGCTTCTTGTAATCCTGGGGACTTTCTGCTTCTTGCAATCCCAGGGACTGACTGCTTCTTGTAATCCCAGGGACTGACTGCTTCTTGCAATCCCAGGGACTGTCTGCTTCTTGCAATCCCAGGGATTGACTGCTTCTTGTAATCCTGGGGACTTTCTGCTTCTTGCAATCCCAGGGACTGACTGCTTCTTGTAATCCCAGGGACTGACTGCTTCTTGCAATCACAGGGACTTTCTGCTTCTTGCAATCCCAGGGACTTTCTGCTTCTTGCAATCCCAGGGATTGACTGCTTCTTGTAATCCTGGGGACTGACTGCTTCTTGCAATCCCAGGGACTGTCTGCTTCTTGTAATCCCAGGGACTGTCTGCTTCTTGCAATCCTAGGGACTGACTGCTTCTTGTAATCCTAGGGACTGACTGCTTCTTGTAATCCTGGGGACTTTCTGCTTCTTGCAATCATAGGGACTGTCTGCTTCTTGCAATCCCAGGGACTGTCTGCTTCTTGTAATCCTGGGGACTGACTGCTTCTTGTAATCCTGGGGACTGACTGCTTCTTGTAATCCTGGGGACTGACTGCTTCTAGAAATCCCGGGGACTGACTACTTTTTCTATAACGTATTCACAGACACACCCCTCCGCATGTCAGAAGAAAACACAAAATACAAGACATGGTAAATAAATATCGCAAGAGGATGACGGAATCTGAGTTTTATACCACATTGTTCATGCAGAAGTAATATAACTCAAAATAGACTTGATTGATTTATTGTCTTCACCAAGAGTTGTACAGTGTCATACTTAAAATATATACTGTAGTATATAGAATTATTAGCAGAATTCTTATTATATTTTGCATTGTAAATAGTGATTTAGCAAAGTTAGAGTGGATCGGTGTTGCCAATGTTGGATAAAGAGATCATTGATTTGATGTTAATTTATGTGCAATTTATTGTTTATTCACACAGTGGTATGTGAATAATACTGATGAGGTGCTTTGTGTTCAATTCTTACAATGTTAAATTGATATTTAATAAGTGCAATATTAGTTTTGTATTATATATATCTCTGATTACTTGAATATATCTCGAATAATTGTATCCTGATACCAATGTTAGTTTCAATAAAAAGTAGCTCTCATATGGTGAGGTATAACCTGCAGTTCTTGTAATTGTCTTCATTATTAGTCTCTTTTCATGTCATATTTGTACATACTTGATGTAAAAACTATTCAGACTGTGCTCTATGTTGATACTCATACCTACTTGCAGATTATATTCATACTTAACGCACTAGAAATGACACAAGAGAGTGATATGCAAGAAAAGTAGGGGGATCGAGAGCCTCAGCGTGCAAGCGTCTTAGCCGTCTATTCCATGATATTGGTCGCCTTTGACCAACATCATGGCAAGGACGACGTGGTACTTGAGTGAGGGCGCCACCTAAGGGTATTGGATGGTGCTCACCATGTCATTCACCAAGCGTTTTCTGCAGGCCTGTTGTGCTGATTTAGTCCATACACTTAAGTCCCCCCCCCCCCTAAAGATTTAGTTTCTGGTCAGAGTGTAATTAATTTAAGGCTTCTGCCAGAATCTTGTTAAAATAAAATAAACCATGGCACGATTTCTGAAGCAGAAACATCATTTTTTTAGCCTAACCAATTTCTACAACAGTGTGTCAATTTGTTTCAAGATGGACTGGTAACGATTTTAATAATTTATGACATAAGATATGTGCATGATGCATGATGGGATGCAAACCAACAAATATTACATACAGTACGTCTTACAATCCCCTCAACGACCCAACACAGAACATTCACCAATTTGTTTGAAAATCAGCACATATGAATCATTTTGTTATTTTGCAAGCTGGCTCAAACTGCTACCTTTTTAGTCTGCATTTCCATTATTATCTGTGTATATTAATTACCTAATTTGTATAATTAGTTCATTTATGGCTTTTACGCTGGTATTTCAAGTACTAGTCATCACATTTCAATGAAACATAGATAGATGCTCTATGAATACGCACATATCTAATTAGTTTTACATTAAAATCTGGGCATAATATTTTTTTCCAGAAACCAATTATTGCATTTCAAGAAGACTATATTGTTGCCTGGGAACAATGCATTGGTTTTGAATTTTCTGAACTTGCACAATGGGCATAATCATCACATTTCATTGCTCATAGATGCTCTGGGCTAATCCACAGATTTGATTAGTTTAATAATGAAAAAACATGCATTTTGATTATCAAATTACTGATATCTCAAAAAATCAGATTGCGGTGGAGGTGCTGTGGAATAAATTAGACTGACATCAACAGATATAAAATGAAATGTATTTACTGTAAGCATTATAAACATCAATAATGTGGATCACATTGTTTTCATGTTGTACATCTCAAATAGCATACAAATATTAGTTGCCAAGCATCTTGTTGGGGGTGGGGGACTAATTAATTTTTAATATTGTCTCTAATACTCTCAGCAGACAAGAGTAATTTCTAATATTTCTTCAATTATTGCTTGGTTATGAGAATTTCAGAGTGAATAACAA